GTGTTGGTGCACAGTGCTCAAAAAGTTTCATTACACTATTCCCTTGCTCCTGCCACACTGCAGATGAAACAAGCCACAGTCTGGCTTGTTGTGTTATCAGAACCTGGGCTCAAGGTCTGTTCTCCACCACAAGTAACCAAGAACAAGCATCCCAGGTTGAGACAGCACAGCGACTCAGGCTCTGGCTTGTTTCATCTGCAGCCTGAGTGGGAAAAGAGCAGCATGGGACTCTTTGAGCAGCAGGCACTAGTCTGCTCCTCATTCACATTAAAACGATAGGTTGTTTTGAACTGTGGTTCGGTGTGTCGTGCAAGCTGGGGCTCTCTTTGCACTAAGCTTAGAAAAATCTACCCAATGGATGAAGGAAACGGAAATGGAGTCAGAAGCCCCCAGGGAAGGCTACCTGGCTGTGCTGTCCTCCATCTGCTATGCAGGAATATCTTGAAAAGGAAATTGCCTAATAGCAACTGAACAGTTCTGAAACTACTGGGCAAACCAGACCTACAAAGGAAAATAGCTTTTTACCTTATTCAAACAACATTTCTTTACTGTAGGGGAAGGGGTGGGAAATAACTGCTTGCTCTAAGCAGAGCAATTAGGAATACTGTAATATACAATTATAATCTATATTCTAAAGTGGCCAGCTTTAGGGAGGTACAGGCAGTTCCACCCCCTCCCCACAGGGCACTGAGCTGAGGGGGTGCAAAATTGAGAAGATCCATTTGGGGGAGCCAATTTTTGGCCTTGCGCAGGGTGCCATTTTACAAAAGACTACCAAAGTCTGGCCCTGGTCGTCACTATTGCTTATTTCTAATTAGTGCCACAGCTAATTGCTTATAATTATTGCTTATAACAGTGGCTCAAAGTACCATTGATAGGAGAGGACTAATTCCTGCAGCACAAGAAAGAGTGACAGCAGTGGGAGACCTGTGCCTTGCCAGGTGCTGTTGGACTACAACTCCCATCATCCCTGGCCATTGACCACACTGGCTGCAGCTGATGGGAGCTGGAGTTCTCCATCCCTGCTTTTCCCCTGCAGTTCCGCTTGTGGAGAGGGATCGTATTCACTGGCCCAGGCCCCAGCCTTCATGGTCTCGCTGTTTACACAAAAGCATAAGCTACACTGAGCTAGATGGCGCAATGGCACAAGGCAGCCTCTTATGTTCCAAGTAACTATTTTAGGATTGTTCTTTGTGTTGTTTAATAATTAAGGGGAAGATGTAATGACAGAGTTTGTAACTTAGAGATATTCCCTCAGTATTAAGAAGGACTTGCCTTGAGATTGCATGATCAAAAAACCAAGTGTTGCTGCACAAGTTTGACTTAAAGGCTTCAAAGAATAAAGCTGTTTCAGGCCATTCCTCCTCTTTGTCTGTGGACCCAGAATTATTATGCCAGGGGCTGCTGAACGTTTGGAGACTGTGGGCACATTTGCAAAGCAGAGAAACTGTTGTGATCCCCACACTAAACTGCAAACATGCACCTGCTGCAACCTGTTCTGTTGGCTACCACAGATTGCTTCTTTCAAGTGTAATTTTGGCCAGAGGAGGGGTGGGGAAAGGCCCCTGTGCAGGCTTGTGCATTTGTGGGCACTGTGTTGGTGGCCTCTGGCCCACACACAATGAAAACTGGTGCATTAGGGTTGTTGTTATTAAACAAAAACAACCCAACAACCTCAGACTTACTTGCCTGAAAATAAAAGTGATTTTTTAAATTTGCATTTTGCAGTAAATGCAAGTAAAAATTGCCGGTTCTTAAAACAGAATGTGGCCAATATTGGGTATTCCTTTACAGCACAATTTATATTAACTTGGCCCAGATTTTAGGTTTTTTACAGAGACAGCGCACACACCTATTTTTTCTTCTTATTTATACTGCCCTTCATCCAAAGATCACAGGGCGGTTCACAACATAAAAATACAAAATGAGAACACAAAAGACATAAAGCACAGGAAAACCAATAGCCGCCCTCGCACAAACACATTTAAAAGTCCACAGAATGTTATTCAGCCCAAGGCCTGGTTTTTCAGAGACGTTTTCACCTGGCGCCTAAAGATATGTAATGAAGGCGCCAGGCGAACCTCCCTGCAGTCCTCCTCACAGCCCTATCTATGCATAGCTCTCCGCAGCCCACAAGATTTTTCCACCATTACAAACTTGGATTAGATTTGAAGCTATCTGGAAATGGATAGCATGGATGGATAAGGAGAGGTTTACAGAATGCAGGTTTCACTATAGCTCATCTTTTAAAAATAATAATAGTAATAAGAATAGCTCCACCTAGACCTAGCCAACCACAATCTGAAACTAGTTTATAAACTATCTGGGGAGAGTAATCCGACTCACCCTGGCTGAGCCACTTACCCCTGCAGCTGATGTTTTGGGCAGACAACTGTCCTTATCTGATAAGAAAGGAATGAGATGCTGTCATCACCTCTCTCACCTTTCCGGAAAAGCTGGGTTGTGCTGCTGCTGCTGCTGTTGAGTGTCTTTGTTGCGCAACTCACTCAAAGGAGGAGAAACATTCTCTCAGTGAGTAGCCTCCAGTCTCTCTACCAGAAAGCTGAACTGACTCATCTGGGTTTCTTAAGTGAACTATTTGTTCCCCACTTTATAGAACAAATACCTGTATGGTAATCCCTGTAGGCTGATGTCAGATGGAAGTCATAATTCTCTTTCACACAGTGCCCTTTTCTACTCACAATAACAACTTCCCCAAATCATACTGTCCACTAGGAGGAACAGGCTGCTTCTTGACCAGTGGCTGTAACTTTAAGCTTGTTTATGAGTAAGCCTCATTGGACACAGTGGGACTTACTTTTGAATAATCATGCATACAGTGCTTTTTTCCTTAAAAGAATGTTTAGGGGTACTCTCATTTTGACTCAAGAAAATCACCATTTTATAGTTCAAATCAGGGAAAATAAATACAGTAAATGGACAAAAGTTCACAAAATGTTTAGGGGTACAGTATGCGTACCCCCAGAAAAAAGCACTGCATGCGTACATTTGTACTATAAATGCCTTAATGTTAAATATATATATAGTGGCTTCGTTCCAGTTGAATTTATGCCATTGGCTCCAAGTAAAACAGTAAGCACGCTTATTTGGGCATAAGCTAAGTTTACCAGACTCTTTATCAGTGAATCTGGGGACACTTTTCAACTTCAATGGATTTTGTATGGGGACTGATTTGTAAATCTGGTGATTGTCCCCAGGAAGCGGGGACGCCTGGTAACCTTAGCGTAAGCCCCATTTTGCTCAGTGGGATCTGCTTTGGAAGAAACACGCTTTGGATTGACCTGGGAATGGGGGTGGCATCCCCACCCCTGGTGTGATGAAGCTGTGTCACAGAAGGGCATTTTTACAAGACTAAAAGAGAGCCCTACAGGATCAGACAAAAGGCCCATCTACTCCAGCATTCTGGTCTCCATGGGAAGCTTGCAAGAAGGACCTGTACACATTCATGCCAGCAACTGGCATTCAGAGCATCCGAATCAGAAGAATCTTTCATTGCACCAGCCACTGGCCATAGCAATAAAATAAAATACAATGTAGTGAAGATAGAGGTGAAAATTTAACTATACAAAATACATTCTGGAGGTTTACATCACTAAGGCATTCAGAGGCCTACTGCCTCTAACAGTGGATGTCAAACTTTGCCACTGTGGCTATTAACCTTATCCTACATAAATCTGTCTAGTCCTTTCTTAAGCCCATCCAGGCTATGGCCATCACTATCTCTTGTGGGAAACAGAAGCAGAATCAGGAAATGATTCCTCCCTGTGTGGCATCCTCTGACAGACACCCTCAACTAAATGGAATAAAATAAAAAGAGGCAATTGAAACCTTGCCTTTCATTACATTCATCAATATAATTGATGCCATATCTACTCAAGTTTGCATATCTGTTATATTATGCTATAGCAGTTTTAAAAACAAAGCTTATAGATAGATGAAAATTAGAATAATGGAATCATATAATTGTACAGTTGGAAGGGACCACAAAGGTCATTTAATTCAACCCCTGCAATGCAGGAATCTTTTGCCCAACATGGGGCTCAAACTTACAGCCCTGGGATTAAGAGTCGCATGCTCTACCAACTGAGCTATTGGAAGGAAATGAGAGTTGCCTTTATTGTCCTTCTAATCCAAGAAGTAAGAACCTGCAAGACTCCAGATCCCGTCAGACCAGGACAGCATGGCCACTTGGTGGGGATGATGGGCATTGTAGTCCTGCAGTGTCTAGAGGAATACAGATTCCCTACCCCTAACCTAAATGAGCTCATCATGCATTCTGCTTACAATGTGATTCCTGAGTAGGTGGATAGGTAATAATTATTACTAATAATTACATATAATAACGTAACTAATCTAAGAGGGGAGAAGGAAAAAGTTGGCTGGGGGCAGGGGTGACACTGGTGAAATAGCACCTGAAGAACCAGTTTACAAACAAACAAACAAACAAACAAACAAACAAACAAACAAACAAACAAACAATTATTATATTTGTAGTGCCTAAAAATGAAATTTCCACTCCATCAAAATATCTACTTTTGACCTGAAAATCAAAAGTAGCAAAAATTCAGCACAGCCCTGTCTAATTTCCTTTGGATCACAAACAAAGCATGAAAAGTGTGAAGATGGGATTCACCGAAGACATTTAAAGTATGTTAAAAAGAGAGCTTTGGGATAGCATGCCCATCCCAGTACAGTCATTTCCACTGATTCTTCACCTTCCACCAACTGCCCAGAGGCACTTTCAGTGAGTCAGTGGTCATTTTCCCCAGTATCCAACACACTCAGCCAGAGAGCATTGGGATAATTTGCCTTGAGAAATCAGCACTGCCAGAAGCAAATTCTTATGGGCCTTATCCTCTGTCAGTCTTTTCCATTGCTATACCCACCCCATCCCCCCAACAAACACCTGTAATTTTCCTTTGAGGTCATTGCATAAAGGTTATCTTGCTCTGAGATAGCAAAGTGGAATTTTACCAATGGGAATGGTGATTCCTGGTCCTATTTTGAGTCTCGAGTGTGTTAAAGGGTTTCATCTTGCAACTTCCGTTGAGGGTGGAGATAGATTTTGGAGTAGGTGGAGGCAAAGGATTTGCTTCAATAAATACAACCGAAGATCACTTCCCACGGGATACTTCAGCTTGTTTCTCAGTCGCTTGCCCATTACCAGGAGCTGATAGCCAACAATGTTGCCCAAAATTGCAATTCTCTCAGCATTAGCTCTTGTTCTGATCATACAAGGTAAGCAAAACACTTTAAGGAATATTAGTGTTAGCGTTTCGTTAAATTCTTCTAATGCTAGATGGAAAAGTCAATCGTGCCTTAACATTCTGGGATGATGATTATTTCTGAGTACATTGCCATAGGAGTTTGGTGTATGTCAGTACCCAGGTTCTTGATATCTGGCAACAGCAGACACCTGGCATTTTATAAATGTTGCTGTTTTTAATTTTCCAGAGGCTTCTCTTGCGCCTGTGACCCAGGAACCAACCACAGGACCAAGCGAGGGGACAACGCTTGAGTCAAGCAAAGAACCAGGTGGCGAAGAAAGCACAGAAGAGCCGACTGATGAAACAAGCTTAGGGCCAAGCGCAGGGCCAAGTGAGGAGCCCAGCACAGAGCCAGCCGAAGAGCCGAGTGGCGAAGCAAGCGGAGAAGCGAGCGGAGAAGCGAGCGGAGAAGCAAGCGGAGAAGCAAGCGGGGAAGGAAGCGGGGAAGGAAGTGGGGAAGGAAGCGGGGAAGGAGGTTCACATCTTATTCAACTAGGCACAGAGGCAAGCAAAGAGCCAACCAAGGAGCCAAGTACAGAGCCAACTTCAGAGGCCGCCCCAGAGAGCGTAGAATCAGGAGATTTTTCACTTATCCTGCCAACTGAAGAAACCCATGGAGATGCAAGCAAAGAGCCAAGCACAAAGCCAAAAACAACTGCAGCGTAAACAGACGAGTCAAGTAAGTTATTTCTGCAATTACTGTGACCTTGTTAGCAACAGTTTCCCTTCTTAGAACTGGTTTGTAGGTGACACTTTGACAAGGACTGGCTTCCTCCAAGAGAATACCCCACTTCCCAGCTCCAGTCGCCACGTGATTTAATGATGGTGTTAACCAGTAGGATAGATAGACTCAATGCCCTGTTCCCAACAGACACAGTAATTTGTAATAAAGTATAGGAGTGGAGATGAGAAACTCAGTGTGGCAACGTCACTCCGACAAGTCTAACAGAGAGACCATGGGGCCTTCCAGATATTGTTAGGTTGCAGCTCCCATTGTCCCTGCCCATTCAACATGCTGGGGGGAGGGGGCTAGTGAAAATTGGAACCCAACATTGGGGAGGGGGGTGGATCACATTGACTACCCTGATAAAGGCCACCTCTTGTACTTAATAGATATCAGGATTCCTGAATGCTGCAGAAGCAGGAAACCCCAGACCAGGATGAGTTCCATGCCCATCAGTTCACTGTTCAGTGGTCCCCTGCAACAATCACAGGGGTTGTCTTTTTACATGCAGCATGTGAGTTAGCAGTACACCTGGCCAACTTATCACTGGCTATTGTGCAGGAAAACAGCATGCACAATCCTTCCCCACCATAACCAAGTTGTGTAAGCTAGGATTAAGGAAATGAGTAGTATAAAGCTGAGACTTCCAGTCTCAGGATTCTACTTTTTTAAGACTCCTTTTGGCACAGACACAGTAGCTTACAGTCCAATGCTAAGCTTGTTTACTTTAGAGGCAAGTAGTCCCTCTTAAGTTAAATGGGACTTGTTCTCTGCTAAATGTGTTTAGGGTCATAACCTTACAGCAGAAGTAGATATATGTCTACTCAGAAGTAAGGCCCACTGAGTTCCATATGTGATTTGCAACTTAAATCTCTCTTTTCTACTGACTTGGTCCATAGGTCATGCTAAAATAGCATCACAGGAGCAACTGTAGCTAGAATTTTGGGTGTGAATTTGGAGGGGAACTGAAAGCATAGAGGATTCCTCTCTCCTTCCTCCCCCCTCATCTGTCATCTCCCCTCTTCCTTGCAGCAAATTTTATGTGGGTGGGGAGGGTGAGATAACTGCAGTGGCGTAGCGTGGGTTGTCAGCACCCGGGGCAAGGCAAGTAATTTGCGCCCCCTAACCCGTGGATTTTCGCAAGGGGCAGAGAGCTGCGAGTGCGAGCGCCCCCCCCCAGATGTTGCGGCCAGCCCCCCTGCACCCCCCACGCTACGCCACTGGATAACTGGACCACAAAGAAAAGGTGTCATGTCTGTCTTCTGCGTCAGGAGGTTGGAGAATCATATTCTGTGCTCAGGGCGTGAGACAGCATCCCTAAATGAAACTTTGGTGCAAGAAATAAGCTCCATGCTAAACTTTTAACATAGACGGATGTCATGGAAGAGCCTAGTTTCTTTTAACTAGAACCAAGACAAGCAGAGGATAAGATCATGGGGACGCCACCTTTTCTCCTGTGTGATTAGGTTCAGGGGGAAATTATATGTATGCTAAGAAGTCAGTGCTTCTACCTGTATTTTTAATAGGCAAATAATTTGACTAAATACTAACCCCACATATTGCCTGCATCACAGTGAGGCGTATAGAACTCCAGTCTGCTTTTCTGTGCGGCATCTGTAAATTTTTAACTTACTAGAGGCACTTAATGACTTCCCTCTTTCCTTTTGCCTTTACTTACTTACACTTGGGTGTGTGTTCTGCCATCTTTGCGCCAGCAATTATGGCCCAAGTTCTCTATCAGTATTGCCACTGTTTTCTGGCAGAGCTAAAGGCCCAAGAAAGTTTGGTAGCTGATAGCCTTACAGCTGATAAAGGCACAGGAGCCCTGGGGGTGGGGGGGGGGTGGAGACACACAAGACCAGCCCCACTGGGCAATGAGACAAGTATTTACTCACCAGAACACAGCTGTTAGCAGTGAAGAACATTCAGATCATGTGTTCCCATCGCCACCACAGGCTCTCTAGACCAGTGTTTCCCAACCTTGGGCCTCCAGCTGTTTTTGAACTACAATTCCCATCATTCCTGACCACTGGTCTTGCTAGCTAGGGATGATGGGAGTTGTAGTCCAAAAACAGCTGGAGGCCCAAGGTTGGGAAACACTGCTCTAGACAACATGGAAGTAATGTCAGAGAATAAAAATGCAATTTAAAAACTTAAATGTCAAATTCATTTGCTGTTGCCTCTGAAATTTCCTTAGGAATCACATGTACAAACTTTCAGTCTAAGTGATAATAAATTGGGGATTTGGTACTCCAGCTTTGTTAATCATGCTTAATTAAATGAATCTAGAATCTCTGTACAACTTCATTGCCACTGTAATGGCCCCCTGTGCAGCCTTGCTTTTCTCTGATCTTTGTCTTGTGTTTTTGTCTTCAGAATAAAAAGAAAATGAACCCAGAAAGAGAACCTGAATTGATGTCTTCCTGATAATGTTGTCTTGATTGAAGTTGCCCTCCAGTAAATGTAGGTTTAATGCCAACAAGCCTTAAACCTAATTGGTTGGGTTTCAGATAAATAAGTATCTGGTGGTTTATCCCACCCAGTCCACTACATTTTGTTTGTTATTTATTAAACTGTGACATGCCAGACAGCTCGCAGTGGACTTGTAGCAGTTATACTGTGTTAATGCTACTATCACTTTCCCTTCCAATCATCTCCCACACCGATGGGCTCTCTCTCTTGTATGTGCCGTCTGCTTTGCAAACTAAAATAAAAATGGAATGACATTATCACCCTTTGTACTGTGCTGTGTTACTGTTTCCAAGCCTTTCCCAGTTCGCCATTCCTTACAAGCCAGTCTTTACCCTATAGACTTGTAGCCTCATGTTGCAGGAATTTATGTATAGGTTTGGAGGGGTTGCAGATATCAGCAGATATCATGCACATGCAGCCCACTACCAAAATCTGCGCAATCGCTTTTGTGACTTGTCCCCACAAAACACTTCATCACAGTTTCTTCCTATCTATTCAAAGGGCCTCTGCTGCACAATATCAAATGTAAGAATTCACTGATAAATGTACTGGGTCACTGGGAAAACACCAGAAATTCATATAGATATGTGAGCTCATCTACTCAGCAGCCCTTCTGCCTGAGTGATAACCCCTGGCATCCTGATACCTGAGTGCCAGACAGGTGGCCATTCCAGAAATAAGAAACCCAGATGAAGGCAAAAGGGTGTGATTAACTTGGCTGGGAAACAGGGAAATGTAAATATCCCTTTTGTTACACTTGATGGGTGTTTGGTGGAGGGCAAGGGGAACCATGGGGCAGGGTCCAGGATGCTCAGATTACTGCCACCAGACCTCCCCTTTTATGATGTAACCATGATGTATTAGTGATGTAGTTTGGGGTGTGTAACATGGGGATTAGCAGCTAATAAAAGTTTGGGTTCTCTTTTGTTCGGGGTTTCCATCTTGTTCCACCTTGTGGCAGGTGGGAGTCCTGTCGCAACAGTCTTCAATAAAGACCAAGCCTGCTGGCTGCTGTTTTGCTCTGGTATTCCTGGCTGGTGTCCTTGTTTTTTGTTCAAGGGAGCCCTCAGATTTCTCTGTTAACTAATTCCATTTTAAAGTGGATGTGGATTATGGAGAGACAGAAGACCTCTTCAGGTGGGCACATTCAATATTATCTAAAACATGGAGGGGAGAGAGAGTAGTGAGAAAGGATGTGCTAGCTCCAGCCCCTGTGCTCTTCTGCAAGTTGGAGGGCAAATTTGTGAACCCTGAAAAATCTAGAGCTCTAAAAACATGCAGGGAGGCTCTTGAGTACAGGGGACGCTTCTGACAGCCATCTTCCAACTTGTGGAGGACAAGAAGAGCAGCGGGTGGGTCCAGCACGCACACACCCCACAGGCCCCTTCACATATTTCACTAAATTCAGGTCTACCCCTGAAGGCTAGGGATGTTTACATAGAAATACTTGCAACTCTTTACATCAAGAGTCTGATCCTCTCCAGTCCTTTTCTCCCTGACCCCCCTACCAATTTTGGCAGAAAAGGATTAGCCAATTAAAGCAGACACAGCATTGGGGTGGGTAGAGCCAAGCTCCTTAGTAGGGATGCAAATTGCTCCCTCCCATTGGCATCAGACTGATCATTTTCTTGACTGTGGAGTCAATAATACACCCCTCAAACAATTCACATTGGGCTGTCTACCTGCACATGCACAAAAGTGTGAAGTTTTCCCTCATTGATGTGTACCCCTCTCTCACACACAACACACTACTAACAGAGCTAGGTAGGACTGTTCACTGTATTCAGAATATGGTAGTCTTTTGACTTTTCAAAAGCTGATGCAAGGTAGTATCAAGCACAAAGGTTGCTGACTGCTTTGGTCTGAAAGCCACATGCACTCTTGGCCAAACCTCCCTCCCCTCCACATCCATACTCTTGAACATACAGGGGCACAGCCCCCTTCTCAGCTGAGGTGTGGTTATCACCCCCTCCCTGGTCATCAAGTGATTATTTGATGACCAAGGAGGGGGTGATTTGCATCCCCATCAGGCCAGGAGCAGAATAACTTGGGTGTTTGTGTATGCAAATCAGCACACACCTTCCAGACCAAGGGTTAGCCACCCGGATTTAGCAAGTGAGCGTCTCCCCCCCCCCCAATCAATGTAACAGTGTGTTATTCTTCCCATTCTCAAGAAAGCAAATCTGGCTACAGTAATGGCATCACAACTTCCCTGCCTTAAACTTTCAGCTGCATGTAAAATACTAGAAGTTGGCTATTTATTTTGTATGAGGAAACCAGAACCCACCCACCCCTTCTTAACAAGGCCATAATGCGGCACCAGTTGAAGGTGCAAACGTCAGTGTTGCACGTCAGTGTTGCACGTGTGAGAGAGAACCTGTTCTGCCTTACAAGTTGCCAAGTTTCAGGAGAAAGGGGCAAAAATTATTCACACCTTTAGACCCATGTCCCCAGATATGCTTGCATGCACAGCTTTGCAAAATGTCTGGGCTTGACATGTTCATGGTATGGTACCAGTATTATAGACTAGAAGTACACCCTTGAGGCCTAGTAGTGATCAAAGAGCCTCCAGACTGGCTCCCCTTTGAGAACATGCCATTTATGATTGTGCAGTAAAACTAGCAGAAAGAGAGCTATTTTACTCTTTTCTCAAAGTGAATGGGAAGTCAAGTTTCTATGGAAGAAACATGGAGTGGCTGAGTTTAAGAGCCCTCGACTTGAGTGGATAACAGTTGCACAAAAGAAGTGTCAAAAACTGGTTGCATTGAAAAGAACATTTGCATGTCCTTTGTGTGGTGACAAGCACTTGGAATAAATCAGACAACACTTTTCAGTGACAAGAAAAGAGGAGTGAGAATTAGGCCTTTTCCAGGAAGACCTGGGATTCTCTTCCACGTTCTAAACCCATCTTGATTCACTGTGGGCCTGACAATCTTAACAAATTTAAGCTGCTTAAAATTATGGGTTCTTTAGTAGGAATAAGAAGCCTATGCACAAGAGAGTGTACCTTTTAAAGTTTTCCTCTCTCCCATTTGTGAAAATTAAATACAGTGGTACCTCGGGTTCAGTACTTAATTTGTTCCGGAGGTCCGTTCTTAACCTGAAACTATTCTTAACCTGAAGCACCACTTTAGCTAATGGGGCCTCCTGCTGCCGCTGCGCCGCTAGAGCACGATTTCTGTTCTCATCCTGAAGCAAAGTTCTTAACCCAAGGTACTATTTCTGGGTTAGCGGAGTCTGTAACCTGAAGCGTATGTAACCTGAAGCCTATGTAACCCGAGGTACCACTGTACTGTTGGTTACCATCCTCCGCTCAGTCTTCAAAACTAGTATACTCAAACAAATAATTACTGTACCAGAGGAAGTTTTGTATGGCATTGATGCGAATGCAGAATTTGATGTACTAAAAATGAACCCCAACCCCACAAACATGCACATTAAACTTCTAGGCCTGATGGATATCAAAAGCAGAGTGCTAACATGTAGGCAAAATCTACAGAAATTTTCCAACTGTGCTATCCTATGCATGTTTGTGTGTTCAATGGCGCTTACTCCAAAGTATGTATACAGAAGGGCATCTTGCACACCCGTTTATTGTTTTCCATCCCCTTTTGCATCCAGTCTTCATGCTCTTCCATATTTTTCCAGTACTCCACCTGACAAACAAAGGCAAAGTATTGCAACATTTCCAGAGCACTGAGCCCTAGGGAGTGAAGGGAGCTTCATAAATACAGTGGACACTCGGGTTGCAAACGTGATCTGTGTGGGAGGCACGTTCGCAGCCCGCAGCGTTCTTAACCTGCAGCGCCACGTCTGCGCACACGTGGGTCACGATTCAGCGCTTCTGCACATGAGCGAACGCTAAAACCCGGAAGTAACCCGTACTTCCAGGTTTTGGCACGTCCGTAACCCAAAAACGTGCAACATGAAGCGTCTGTAACCCGAGGTATGACACTATCATTTTATTCTTACACAATCCGTGTCAAAGAAACAGCACACACTGTATTCAGAATGTTTAAGAACCCACAGTAGACACAGACTTGATGACCATGCTGAGTAAGTATAAACTCATTTCTGCATCTGAATGGCACACAGAAGGAGACAGAATGCAACTCAACTTTTAACACCAACTTTTTGCATATTTATTTAATTCATGCATATGTAGAGAAGATGGGGGGGGGGTGTTTGAGAGAGCAGCTACCAAGACACCGTTTAGGGGAAAGGTTCCTGCTTGTTACCGGTACTTTCCATAATGTGAAACTAAATATCTGACCTACTATTATTATTATTATTATTATTATTATTATTATTATTATTATTTTAAGAGCATAGATTTCAACTTCTCTAACACAGCTGGTAAAAGTAACAAGGGAGAGTTCAATAGTATAACTTCGCTTCTAAATTATAATGCATCTGTATTTTGTCACTTGCTGTCATATTATTCATATTGCACTGTTCTGATCCCTAATATAAAGTTTTTCCACTCCCACAACCTCAAGCCATTTTAAGGATTTCAGCAGTTAAATCTGGAAAGTCATAAAAAGTCAGCCTTTGAGCACTAAGACTCCATAGACTGGTTCTGTTTGAATGGTAACATTATGATGATACACTGTACTCTGTTAACAACTTAATTACGCCTAATAAAATAAATTACTGTGGAACCATCAAAGAGAAAACCAGAAGGATTCTGCAAAAATACCATTTACAATCTAGCTGCATAGAGCTTTCTAAAAAAAGACCTGTCACTTTCTGTAAGAGACGTTAGCAGGTGCCCAAGGCGTTCACATTTAAATAAATGGGTTTAAGTGTGTTTAACTGTGGTGGGATCGTACCCATGGCGTATTCTGCCACATATTCCACATCATGTACTGTTCTTCTTCATTCCATACAGTTTTCATCTGAAGACAGATCCTGGAAAACATAGGACCTTATGTTGGAACTCACTCCAGCCAAATGCGTGCACTTTGAAGTCCCAAATGGAAGCATTACATTTATCAACAGGACAAATGTATGGGACTTAAATGTGCCTCATCCCAGGACAGAATGAAAACTTTACAAGGAACACAGCAGGGCTGCATCCAAAGCAGTAGCCTGGTGTCCATTTGCACATGTCCCCAACCTCTCATACAATATGCACTGGAAGCAAGGAACTGCACAGCAAAATGATGCCAGCACATAAAATAAGTTGCACCTGGCACCACAACTGGGTGCAGGTGGACTTCAACTCAGGCCCAATATTTTCGTGGCAGCCCCAAGT